AACCTCTTTGAGTACTGGTGATCTCATTTTTGTCAGCATAGTTACTCCCTTTGCAACAACAGCATCCTTGATTTCCCTTTTCTTGGCCACTATGGAACATATGGTTGTGTAGGGTTTCTTATACATCCTGGCCAGTTCGGCCGCACTTGTACCACTTTCATATTGTTCAATGATGTTTTTCTTAAATTCAATCGTATTTCTCACCTTCTTTACCACAGGCTTGGCACTAGGAGCTTTCTTTGGAGTCATGGTAGCTTATTTAGTACTTGCAAGCACTAAAATAAATGGAATATTATGAAATATTTCGCTGGAGCACGTGAGGGGACCTTTGCTCACTGGTAAACAATACCAGACTGGCTGCCGCCCTGGCTCACACCGTGGGTACGTGTCCCGGACGAACTATGACTCGCGAGTCAACCTATGAAAAGCGAGCCCATGTTTATATGAAAATACCCCTATGATTTCCGAAATCTATGATTGCCGAGAACCACAAAATGTGAGGGACCACTGTACCTAACTGTTGCATCTGTGTCTTACCTAACAACCTATCGGTATTGTATACCATTTTAATAATAATGATACTAATAATAATAATAGTAAAAATAATAATTCTAGGCAATGAAAAAATTGGGTATCAGACTGGAGAGTGCATAGAGTTTTTGAATGCTGCAGTAATACACTGTACTGAGGCTAGAGGCTGTGGATATATCATTCTTGAAAGCAGTGTGGTGTGACTGCAACATAGAGAATTTGGACTGATGTAGGGGGTGACCAAGGGTATAATTCAGAGGGCTGAGAAGGAATTGTTGAGGTGGCTTGGGCATGCAGAAAGATCTGTAGAGAGGGGTAGGATGACAAAAGGGGGCTTATAAATCTGGGGTGGAAGGTAGGAAAGGTAGGGGTCATCCCAGGAATGGTTGAAGGGAGAGGCTAAAAGAGGCTTTGAGTTTAAGGATTGAGCATTCAGCAGGCTTGTGTCAATGTGTTAGATAGGAGTGAATGGAGAGAGGTGGTTTTTAATGGACGTGGTGTTTGAGTATGACCACAGTAATGTTTTATGAAGGAAAACATTAGGGACGTGTTTCCATAAGACGCCTACTGTCCATGTTCACCCATCAGTCTAAAATGGGTACCTGGGTGTTAGTCGACTGGTGTGGGTTGCATCCTGGGACAAAACTGACCTAATTTGCTCGAAATTCTCTGCATAAGAGAGGGTTTCTATATAGTAGTATGTCATTGATGTCATCTAAGCCTGTATACTATGTACATGTACTTGTAGTAAATAAAGATATTATTTATTATTATTATTTATTATCACACCGGCCGATTCCCACCAAGGCAGGGTGGCCCGAAAAAGAAAAACTTTCACCATCATTCACTCCATCACTGTCTTGCCAGAAGGGTGCTTTACACTACAGTTTTTAAACTGCAACATTAACACCCCTCCTTCAGAGTGCAGGCACTGTACTTCCCATCTCCAGGACTCAAGTCCGGCCTGCCGGTTTCCCTGAATCCCTTCATAAATGTTACTTTGCTCACACTCCAACAGCACGTCAAGTATTAAAAACCATTTGTCTCCATTCACTCCTATCAAACACGCTCACGCATGCCTGCTGGAAGTCCAAGCCCCTCGCACACAAAACCTCCTTTACCCCTCCCTCCAACCCTTCCTAGGCCGACCCCTACCCCGCCTTCCTTCCACTACAGACTGATACACTCTTGAAGTCATTCTGTTTCGCTCCATTCTCTCTACATGTCCGAACCACCTCAACAACCCTTCCTCAGCCTCTGGACAACAGTTTTGGTAATCCCGCACCTCCTCCTAACTTCCAAACTACGAATTCTCTGCATTATATTCACACCACACATTGCCCTCAGACATGACATCTCCACTGCCTCCAGCCTTCTCCTCGCTGCAACATTCATCACCCACGCTTCACACCATATAAGAGCGTTGGTAAAACTATACTCTCATACATTCCCCTCTTTGCCTCCAAGGACAAAGTTCTTTGTCTCCACAGACTCCTAAGTGCACCACTCACTCTTTTTCCCTCATCAATTCTATGATTCACCTCATCTTTCATAGACCCATCCGCTGACACGTCCACTCCCAAATATCTGAATACGTTCACCTCCTACATACTCTCTCCCTCCAATCTGATATTCAATCTTTCATCACCTAATCTTTTTGTTATCCTCATAACCTTACTCTTTCCTGTATTCACCTTTAATTTTCTTCTTTTGCACACCCTACCAAATTCATCCACCAATCTCTGCAACTTCTCTTCAGAATCTCCCAAGAGCACAGTATCATCAGCAAAGAGCAGCTGTGACAACTCCCACTTTGTGTGTGATTCTTTATCTTTTAACTCCACGCCTCTTGCCAAGACCCTCGCATTTACTTCTCTTACAACCCCATCTATAAATATATTAAACAAACACGGTGACATCACACATCCTTGTCTAAGGCCTACTTTTACTGGGAAAAAATTTCCCTCTTTCCTACATACTCTAACTTGAGCCTCGCTATCCTCGTAAAAACTCTTCACTGCTTTCAGTAACCTACCTCCTACACCATACACTTGCAACATCTGCCACATTGCCCCCCTATCCACCCTGTCATACGCCTTTTCCAAATCCATAAATGCCACAAAGACCTCTTTAGCCTTATCTAAATACTGTTCACTTATATGTTTCACTGTAAACACCTGGTCCACACACCCCCTACCTTTCCTAAAGCCTCCTTGTTCATCTGCTATCCTATTATTATTATTATTATTATTATTATTATTATTATTATTATTATTCAGGTAGCTAGACTTGGGTCCTGGAGATGGGAAGTGCAGTGCTTGCATTCCAAAGGAGAGGTGGAGATGTTGCAGTTGATGGGTAATCTGATTGTTATGTCAGAACGCTTCTTGAAAGACAGTGATTGAAAGAAAGATGGTGAATGTGTTTTCTTTGAGTTGCTCGGTCTTGGCAGATGGCAGTAGAGTTAAAAAAATTTTAGATTTTATTTAACATTTTAGAACTGCTTTACATTAATATGTAGATTTACATGATTCATAATTTAATTCAAGAATAGGATACCAAATTTTGTATAATTTGTTTTGTCATGAGTTAATTTTTTTTTATATTGTTACATAAAAATATTGAGGGATATATCATTAAGGTAGTCAGTTCCTGATCAGCCGGGCTGTGGCTCGTACGTTGGTTTGCGTGCAGCCAGCAGCAACAGCCTGGTTGATCAGGCTCTGATCCACCAGGAGGCCTGGTCACAGACCGGGCCGCGGGGGCGTTGACCCCCGGAACTCTCTCCAGGTAAACTCCAGGTAAAATGGTTTAATACTAAATCAGGGTTTATGTGACAAAGGCAAACAAGAAAATATGCATTGCTCAAAGTGTACTGAAAAGAGTGGTTGCTGTGGTAACTTTCAGTTCACTCACACATATAAGTTTTTGTGCTTTGAAAAACTGTCTAAGCTATGCTTAGACAGTAAAGGTGCCATGCATCTGAATGTATATCCATTACATAAGTTAAGTGTTAACCCTTTCGGGGTTTCGGCCGTACTAGTACGGCTTACGTGCAGGGGTTTTTGATGCACTAGTACGCATAAATTCTAGCGCCGTCAAATCTAGTGAGAGAAAGCTGGTAGGCCTACATATGAAAGAATGGGTCTATGTGGTCAGTGTGCACAGTATAAAAAAAATCCTGCAGCACACAGTGCGTAATGAGAAAAAAAAAACTTTGACCGTGTTTTTGGATTAAAACAGCGACTGTGCACTGTATTTTCGTATGATATTTATTGTTGTATTCTAGTTTTCCTGGTCTCATTTTATAGAATAGAAGGTATATTACAGAAATTGAGATGATTTTGACTGATTTTACAATGAAAAGTACCTTGAAATTGAGCTCAAAGTAGCAGAAATGTTCGATTTTTACCAAAGATCAAAAGTAAACAAATCATGCCGAGTGTCCAGTACACGTCAACTGGTGAGTAATATTCTTTCACAAGTGTGCTGATATTATTTATACCATTTCTACACTAATGCAGTAGTCTGCATAACAGTAAATCTTCTATTTTTTTTTGTGAGAATAAAAATTCAAAGTGGAAAACAAAAGAATGTAAGAGGGGCGTGGGAACATGACTAATGAACAGGAATGTCTTTCTTGTTTATTCTGGACTCTATTCGGAAATTGGCATCTTTTGAAATTTGTGTGACATTGGCAAAATTGCTAAATTCTGACTACTGTATTGGATAGTTGAAATCAGTAAATGGGTGGTTTCTTGTACTCATTCGATAGAAAAAATGAAGTTCTAGCAAAATAGTTATGATTTTTGTCGACAAGTACACTGGAATTGGCCGAAAATAGGGCTCAAAGTGGGCAAAATCGCCGATGCGTAAACATCGTCAAGACTGCTAACTTCGCGAGAGCATATTTCCATAAGTTTTCCCTCAAATTTCATACTTTTGGTGTCATTATGATCGGGAAAAGATTCTCTATCTTTTCATAAGAAAAAATTTTTTTTTTTCTTTTTTGAAATTTGGCCGACCCTGAGAACTAGTCTCTGAGAGGACCTGCCGACCCCCGAAGGGTTAATAAAGTTGTCACTTTGATGGGTAGCTCAAGTAAAAATAATAATCTTTTCAAGGCACTAAGAATTATGCATGTGATTTTATGTCCTTTAATTTACTGTTTAAGCATAGAGGACATAAAATCACATACATAATTCTTAGTGTCTTGAAAAGATTATTATTTTTATTTCAGCTACCCATCAAAGTGACAATTTTATAAACTTAACTGATGTAAAGGATATACATTCAGATGTATGGCACCGTTAGACTAACACTCATGTAGGTGTATCAGTGTGCACTAGTTACACATTATCATGACTTTCATGACTTGCTGACATAATTTGCTGATATCGCTTAGTATGTACACTAGCATCTATTGTAAAATCTTAATAGAATGTAAATTAAATTTTTTTCTTTTTTAGGTTGCTGTTATAAAGTCATCCAGAATAAATACGGAGAAAAAGGAGAGGTTGAAAGTTCGAGTTATTAGTGATAATCATATTTCAGGAGGATTGGTTAAATCAAGCATCATTATTTCGCACAAAAGGCAACTGTCACCAGAAGTTACACCTCTAAGAACATCATGTTCTTACAGCTTGAGAGCTTCAGCCGGTTGCATATATACAGCTCCTGAGACGATGAATACTGATGATGTGACCTGTGAGTACACTCATTGTGTCAGCATTTTCTAAGGAAACCTCCAGTATTTTTTTTTAATAGGGGTCTTCCTCATATCTTATAAATTTGTAAAAAAAAAAAAAAAAACAGCCTTCACATTTACTCTTAAACCATTCTATGCATAAGTACTGTTCATCACCACTGTCTAGAAAATCTCCCAACTCCTACCCCAAATATCTTACTGCTAGGAGATTTCAACTTGAGACACCTAAAATGGAGAAGTATAGCAAACAATGTTTTAGCCGAGATCACCCCAGGAGGCAGCTCAGATGAAAATTCACACACACATGACCTATTAACTCTCTGCACCAAATTCACCTTAAACCAGCAAATAGTAGAGCCTACAAGACTAGAAAATACGCTGAACCTCATCTTCACTAACATTGATGATCTGATACGTAATATAACTGTATCAAAGACGATACACTCAGATCACAACATAATAGAGGTACAGGCATGTATGCACAGGGTTTCTGACCAGCAAAATGTGAACAGTCATGAAGGTCTCTTCACAAAATTCAATTTCAATAACAAAAACATACAGTGGGATCAAGTAAACCATATCCTAAATGAAACAAGCTGAGAAGATATCCTAAACAACACAGATCCAAACATTTATCTTGAAAAAATGAATTCTGTGGTTCTTGAGACCTGCTCAAGACACATTCCATTAAGAAAAAGAAAGAGAAGATGTTAACTAGAAAGAGAGAGACGCTGCCTATACAGACAAAGGCAAAGAGTCATTGAGCTGCTGAGTGGGACCAGTATATCGGAAATGCGAAGGGAGGCACTAGTCAATGAAATTGCAAATATTGAACTTAGGCTGAAGGAATCTTACAGGAGACAAGAATCACCAGTCTAAGGGAAAAACAACATCCAGTATTGGGCCCCTGCTTAGGTGGGATGGGACATACACAGATGACAGCCAAGAAATAATGAGATACTGAAGTCTCAATGTGACTCAGTGTTCAGCGAGCCACTGCCCAGACTAAGGGTCGACAACCCAAATGAATTCTTTATGAACAAAGCCCAAAATTTGGACGTCCCAAAAATCTTGGATATTATCCTAAGTCCACAAGACTTTGAAGAGGCAATAAATGACATGCCCATGCACTTTGCCCCAGGCCCAGACTCATGGAACTCCATGTTCATCAAGAACTGCAAGAAGCCCCTATCGCGTGCCTCCAGCATTTTATGGAGAGGGAGCATGGACACGGGGTCATCCCACACACACTAAAAACAACAGACATAGCCCCACTCCACAAAGGTGGCAGTAAAGCAATTGCAAAGAAGTACAGACCGATAGCACTAGCATCCCATATCATAAAAATCTTTGAGAGGGTTCTACGAAGCAAGAACGCCAACCACCGAGATACCCATCAGTTACACAACCCAGGGCAACACGGGTTTAGAGCAGGTCGCTCCTGCCTGTTCCAGCTACTGGACCACTATGATAAGGTCCTGGATGCTGTAGAGGATAAACAAAATACAGATGTAGTATACACAGACTTTGCAAAAGCTTTCGACAAGTGTGACCATGGTGTAATAGCACTCAAAATGCTTGATAAAGGAATAACAGGAAAAGTTGGTAGATGGATCTATAACTTCCTGACAAATAGAACACAAAGAGTAATAGTAAACAGAATAAAGTCCCAGGCAGCCACGGTAAAAAGCTATGTTCCACAAGGCACAGTACTCGCTTCCATTCTATTCCTCATTCTCATTCCCGACATAGACAGAGATGTAAGTCATAGCTCTGTGTCTTCCTTTATGGATGACACCCAGATTACCATGGCAGTGACCTCCATCGAAGACACCACGAGACTCCAAGCAGACATCAATCAAATCTTTGAATGGGCCACTCAAAACAATATGAAGTTCAACAAAGAGAAATTTCAACTACTCAGATATGGGAAACTTGGGGAAATTAAAAATGTATCAGGGTATACGACAAATTCTAATCATACAATAGAACGGAAAAGTAATGTGAAGGACCTGGGAGTGATAATGTCAGAGGATCTCGCCTTCAAAGACGACAACAATGTATCTACCTCATCTGCTAGGAAAATAGTAGGATGGATAATGAGAACCTTCAAAACTAGGGATGCCAAGCCCATGATGATTCTCTTGTGCTCTCGAGACTGGAATACTGCTGTACACTAACGGCCCCCTTCAATACTGGCAACACTGCAGACCTGGAGAGTGTACAAAGAACTTTCACAGCACACATAAGCACAATAAGGCACCTAAATTACTGGGAACGGTTGAAGGTCCTTGATGTACTCACCTAATTGTAGTTGCAGGGGTTGAGACACAGCTCCTGGCCCCACCTCTTCACTGAACACTACTAGGTCCTCTCTCTCCCTACTCCATGAGCTTTATCATACCTCCTCTTAAAGCTTTGTATGGTTCCTGCCTCCACTACATCACTTGCCAGACTGTTCCACATCCGGATCACTCTATGACTGAAGAACTGCTTCCTAACATCCCTGTGACTCATCTGAGTCTTCAGCTTCCAAGAGTGACCCCTTGCTTCTGTGTCCCCTCTCTTGAACATCTTGTCTCTGTCCACCTTGTCTATTCCACACAGTATTTTGTATGTCATTATCATGTCTCCCCTATTCCTCCTGTCCTGGCCGATTTCCCTCAACCTTTCTTCATAGGACATTCCCCTTAACTCTGGAACTAACCTTGTCGCAAACCTTTGCACTTTCTTTATTTCGTAACGTGCTTGACCCGGTGCGGGTTCCAAACAGGTGCTGCATACTCCAGTATGGGCCTGATGTACATGGTGTACAGTGTCTTGAAAGATTCCTTACTTAGGTATCGGAATGCTAATCTCAGGTTTGCCAGTCGCCCATATGCTGCAGCAGTTATCTGGTTGATGTGTGCTTCCAGAGACGTGTTCAGCGTTATAATCATGCCAAGATCTTTCTCCTTGAGTGAGGTTTGCAGTCGTTGGCCACCTAGCCTATACTCTGTTTGCTGTCTTCTTTGCCCTTCTCCAATCTTCATGACCTTTTGTTTGGCAGGGTTGAATGCGAGAAGCTAATTGCTGGACCACGTGTACAACCTGTCCAGGTCTCTTTGAAGGCCTGCTTGATCCTCATCTGATTTAATTCTCCTCATTAACTTCACATCATCTGCGAACAGGGTCACCTCTGAGTCTATCCTTTCCATCATGTCATTCACATATACCAAAAATAGCACTGGTCCTAGGACCGATTCCTGTGGGACCCTGCTCGTCACAGGTGCCCACTGTGATACCTCATCACGTACCATGACTCGTTGTTGCCTCCCTGTCAGGTATTCTCTGATCCATTGAAGTGCCCTTCCTGTTATACACGCCTGATCCTCTAGTTTCTGCACTAATCTCTTGTGAGGAACTGTGTTGAAGGCTTTCTTGCAGTCCGAGAAGATGCAATCAACCCACTCCTCTCTTTTGTCTCTTACTTCTGTTACTTGATCATGAAACTCCAGAAGGTTTGTGACACAGGATTTGCCTTCCATGAAATCATGCTGGTTATCATTTATATTTCTGTTGCATTCCAGGTGCTCCACCACTCTCCTCCTGATAATCTTCTCCATGACTTTGCATACTATATACGTCAGTAACACTGGTCTGTAGTTTAGCGCCTCTTTTCTGTCTCCTATTTTAAAAATGGGAACTACATTTGCAGTCTTCCATACCTCTGGTAGTTGCCCAGTTTCAAGGGATGTATTGAAGATTGTGGCTAATGGGACACAGAGCATTTCTGCTCCTTCTCTAAGGGCCCACAGGGAGATGTTGTCCGGTCCCCTTGCCTTTGAGGTATCAAGGTCACTTAGCATCTTCTTCACCTCCTCTTCAGTTGTGTGTATGTCATCCAGCACTTGTTGGTGTATTCCCTGTTGGTGTCCCTCTCTGTCCTGTCTTCCCAGAGTACTTCCTGTCTCAACTGTGAATACTTCCTTAAATCTCTTGTTGAGCTCCTCACATACCTCTTGATCATTTCGTGTGAGTTCCCCACCTTTCCTCAGCCTCTATGCAGAAGCGAACGTTCCATCCTTATCCGATCGCCGTGATGCCCATTGCCTTCACTACTATGTACGCTCTCATGATCTCCGCAATCCTTCCATTTATAGAATGGTCACCGATATTAGTAGACATTCTTTATTTGTTCGCCGCCCCTGTTTGCTCCGTCCCTTCTCCCTTTGCCTACATTCGCTCTTGTCTTCTCTTCAATTACCACCTTTCTATGTTCATGTAGCATCTCACTTTTCCCTACCCCCCTGGGAAGTTCCAGCTGTTTGAGTCTGTTCTTTCTCACTCCCTTGCTCGAAAGCCCAACTGTCTACGGTAGATTCCCGCTCTCTTTTTCTTGACCACTTCCACTCTCATTCTCATGCCATTGCAGTGTACATAAATGGCTCTAAGTCTTCTGACGGCGTAGGATTCGCAGCAATGTTTCCGGACAGTGTCGTACGAGGGCATTTACTATCTTCGGCTAGTATCTTTACTGCTGAATTGTATGCCATTCTTGCAGCACTTATCCGTATTGCATCTATGCCTATGTCATCATTTGTGATTGTCTCAGACTTTCTTAGTGCTTTACAGGCTATACAGAAATTTGATACACTTCACCCCTTAGTCCTCCGTATCCAACTTTGGCTACGCTGCATCTCTTCCAAGCATAAAGATATTGTTTTTTGTTGGGTCCCTGGTCATGTTGACGTACAGGGCAATGAACAGGCAGACACTGCTGCGCGGTCAGCAGCACATGACCTACCAGTTTCATATAGAGGTGTTTCCATTTCACACCCGTTGGCAACAACGTTGATCTACTCTGCTCGGTAACAAACTTCTCTCCCGTCTTCGCATTGGCCATACTTGTCTTACTCATGGTTATCTCAGGAGAGGCGCCCTGCTCCTCTCTGTGAGAATTGTCAGGTTCCATTATCGGTTAGCCACATTCTATTAGACTGCCCACTTTATCAACGAGCACGCAGAATATACCTCCAACGTCGTCTTTGCTCCGCTGCTCTCTCTTTACCTTCCCTTCTCGCTGATGGACCCACCTTTCATCCGGACTTTCTCATTGACTTTTTGACAACAACTGACTTACTTCACAAACTCTAATGATACCTTCAGCCCTTTCTACCTCAATCTCTTGCTGCCCTCTACCCCCGCACTATCCCCTGCCCCGCTGTTTTCTGTAACCTACTGATCATCCCTCCCCCCTTCTGCCGCCCAATACCCTCGCTTCCTTCCCTACCCTGCAGCGCTGTATAGACCTTGTGGCTTAGCGCTTCTTTTTGATTATAATAATAATAATAACAAGTCACTAAAAACCAGCACCTTCCCGAAACTACTCAAGACAGCAAGGGTTACACCTATACATGAAAGTGGTGACCCTACAGATGTAAACAACTACAGGCCAATATCAAACTTACCATTGCTATCCAAAATCTTCAAGAAACTCGTGCACAGGAAACTATATTCATTTATAACGGCACAAAACATACTCAGCCCCTGCCAATTTGGATTCAGGAAAAATAAAAGCACTAATGATGCAATTGTAAAAATGCTAGATCTGCTTTACACAGCATTGGAAAATAAGGAATATCTGCTAGGAATTTTTGACCTAAGAAAAGCTTTTGACACAGTAGACCATGGCATCCTACTCCACAAACTTGACCATTATGGTATAAGAGGCCATGCGCTTGCATATTCCAATCCTACCTTACTAATAGGTATCAGTATGTCACCATTAAAGACACAGCATCATCAACACGGCCACTTGATACTGGAGTTCCGCAGGGAAGTGTCCTTGGACCCCTGCTCTTCCTCATTTACATCAATGATCTTCCAAATGTATCCCAACACCTGAAACCCATACTCTTTGCTGACGACACAACTTATGTCATCTCTCACCCTAATCTTGCCATCCTCAACACCATTGTTAATGAGAAGCTGCTCAAAATATCAACTTGGATGACAGCCAATAAACTTACACTTAACACTGACAAAACCTACTATATTATGTTTGGTAGCAGAGCAGGTGTTGCGCAACTAAACATTAAGATCGACAACACTCTAATTGCCAGACATAATGAGGGCAAATTCCTAGGCCTATACCTCGACAACAACCTGAATTTCAACACTCATATCCAACACATAACAAAAAAAGTATCCAAAACAGTTGGGATCCTCTCCAAGATACAATACTACGTGCTGCAAAATGCCCTTCTCACACTATACTATTCACTCATTTATCCATACCTCACCTATGCTATTTGTGCTTGGGGATCAACTGCAGCAACACACCTAAAGCCAATAATAACCCAACAAAAAAGCTGCAGTAAGAATAATCACAAAATCCCATCCCTGGCAACACACCCCGTCACTCTTCATAGATCTAAACTTACTCACTGTTCAGAACATCCACACTTACTACTGTGCAATCTACATCTACAGGACCTTAAATTCCAATATTAACCTTGACCTGAAATGCTTTCTTGATAGTTGCGACAGGACCCACAGGCATGACACCAGACACAAACATCTCTACAACATTCCCCGTGTCCGACTAAACCTTTATAAATATTCAATGTATGTCAAAGGCCCTAAAATCTGGAATACCCTGATACACCCCGTCAACTAACTACATAAAAACCACCTGGTGATTCAAACTTACACTTATTCGCTCACCCAATTGACTATAAGCACAGAAATACGAATCTTAATCTTAAAATAATGATTCCTAACTAGTCATAAGTTTGCCTGTGATACTCCAATATAGAAACTATGTATTGTGCCAAAACAAAAGCATTCACATTGCTGAACTCACAAACTAGTATTTAGTCACTTAGTATTTAGTCAACTTATTCCATAATTTGTAATAATTTAGGGTTAAGAATTAATCTAAGTTTGGCGAAGTGCCTAGCCATACTAGGTGTCCTAGTGGCCCCCTCTGTAATTATTATTCTATTATATGTAAACCACACAATAACCAAAATCTGTAAATCCTGCATTGTAATCCTTATAGAGAATAAACTTGATTGATTGATTGATTGAACCATTCCTAGGCTGACCCCAACTCCGCCTTCCCTCCACCACAGATTTATACACTCTTGAAGTCATTCTACTTAGTTCCATCCTCTCTGCATATCCGAACCACCTCGATAACCCTTCCTCAGCCCTCTGGATAATAGTTTTGGTTATCCCGCACCTTCTCCTAATCTCCAAACTATGGATTCTCTGCATTATATTCACACCACACATTACCCTCAGACATGACATCTCCACTGCCTCCAGCCTTCTCCTTGTTGCAACATTCACCACCCATGCTTCACACTCATATAAAAGTGTTGATGTAACTCTACTCTCATACATTCCCTTCTTTGCTTCCATGGATAAAGTTCTTTGTCTCCACAGACTCCTCAGTGCACCACTCACCTTTTTCCCCTTGTCATTTCTGTGAGTCACCTCATCTTTCATAGACCCATCCTGTGGCGTTGCTAGGGTTGGTGTCACCTGGGGCGGAATCTTTGGTGTCACCCCCATGAAATCCAAGAGTGGGGGGATGGGGGGAGTAAACTCCAGTTATGTCACTACTGCATGACCAGTGACTAATGTTTATTAATGAGAACATTTAAGGGCCATAAACCGAACAGAAGAATACTTCTCAGCTTTATTAATGATAAAATAAATAATCGTAGTAATATTGAGGAAACATAAACTCAAATGCCACTTTGAGTAAAGGCAACAGATCCTAAATTTATTCATCTTCAACAATGTAAAAACACAAAAACTTGAAAAATGAAGAAAAAATTGCAATATCAGAGAAACAGTAGTTCTGATTTGACCTTGAGTACAGGTAACATCAGAGGGCCTGGGTTTGATTCCTGGTGGGTGAAAACATTTCGACACGTTTCCTTACACCTGTTGTCCTGTTCACCTAGCAGCAAATAGGTACTTGGGTGTTAGTCGACTGGTGTGGGTCGCATCCTGGGGGACAAGATTGAGGACCCCAATGGAAATAAGTTAGACAGTCCTCGATGACACACTGACCTTCTTGGGTTATCCTGGGTGGCTAAACCTCCGGGGTTAAAAATCCGAACGAAATCTTATCTTATGTATCACATCAAAATCAATTATTTTTCCCTATATAGGCCTATTTGTACTCTGTAATCATATAATAGGCTATATAAAAATGAAGGATTTTCCTATCATGTAGCTGCAGCAATGTTTTGTTACCTAATTTTTTTTTGTTATCATCATCACCTTAAGCTTTCCTCTATTCGCTTTTAATTCCTTTTACATACCCTTCCAAACTCATCCACCAGTCTCTGCAACTTCTCTTCAGAATCTCTCAAAAGCACAGCATCATCAGCAAAGAGCAGCTATGACAACTCCCACATTGTGTTAGATTCTTTATCTTTCAACTCCACAAGTAAGTACGTTTATTCAAGTATACACAAGTACAGTTACATAGATTATCGTACATAGCAGCATATGTGTAGAGAACCTAGGATAACCCAAAAAAGTCAGACAGAGTGGCCAATACCCATGCATTCACATCTCTTACAACTTCATCTATAAATATATTGAACAACCATTTAGTTTTAGTTTGCCCAAAATGCTTTGCTTAATCAGAGGATTTCCAATATGCATGACATAACTGTCACCTATTTTTGTAACAGTTGTGTAATTTTTTAAAATTATTAATTTATTTATTGTATTTTTCAGATTGTAGGCAGTGTCAGAAGCATTATATTGGTGTGTGTACTTGCCATTTTGTGTTAATTCTCAATAAAAAAGTAAGTTTCCTTCCAATAAGTAATGGGTGATTAGGAGCAGCATTTAATGCATAATTTGCAAATTCAATACTTGTAAGATGTATCACTGCATAGCTAGCTATACAGTGGACCCCCGGTTAACGATATTTTTTCACTCCAGAAGTATGTTCAGGTGCCAGTACTGACCGAATTTGTTCCCATAAGAAATATTGTGAAGTAGATTAGTCCATTTCAGACCCCCAAACATACACGTACAAACGCACTTACATAAATACACTTACATAATTGGTCGCATTCGGAGGTAATCGTTATGCGGGGTCCACTGTATTTCATTGATTTCCTTACCATGAAACATATCTAATATCAGAGAAAACATTGAAATAGTATACATTTGTTAGGTTATTAAAAAATTAAACATAATTTGCATTTCCTTCAGATCTTCCTCCCACACAAAAACCTATGAATCTTTAGAATTATTTATGGGATATCTTTCAGTAAAATAATGCAAATTTGCAATATCAGTAAATTTAGAATCCACAGTTTTGTAAGCAGAACTGTACTTTTTTTTTCAATCAGCCATTCCTTAAGCATACCATAATCCTCATTTTCAGGTTTCCCGTGATGGAAGTGTGAAGGACCGGGCTCGTTTAACAGCACCTTGGCCAATTTATGTTTCCAAATCACAAATAGAAGGTGGAGGTGAAGGTGTGTGGACTAGTGCCAGCCTGCCTCAAGGCCTTGTTTTTGGCCCCTATGAAGGCCATACTCAAGAAAATATTTCTAGGGAATCAGAATCTGGTTATGCTTGGCATGTGAGTTGTCATCAAGTATTAGATGTACAGTATTGTAAAATTTGACAGAAATATTGTAAGGTTTCATACAATATAATTAACATAATTATTTTTTTTTTATTATCACACTGGCCGATTCCCACCAAGGCAGGGTGGCCCGAAAAAGAAAAACTTTCATCATCATTCACTCCATCACTGTCTTGCCAGAAGGGTGCTTTACACTACAGTTTTTAAACTGCAACATTAACACCCCTCCTTCAGAGTGCAGGCACTGTACTTCCCATCTCCAGGACTCAAGTCCGGCCTGCCGGTTTCCCTGAACCCCTTCATAAATGTTACTTTGCTCACACTCTAACAGCACGTCAAGTATTAAAAACCATTTGTCTCCATTCACTCCTATCAAACACGCTCACACATGCCTGCTGGAAGTCCAAGCCCCTCACACACAAAACCTCCTTTACCCCCTCCCTCCAACCTTTCCTAGGCCGACCCCTACCCCGCCTTCCTTCCACTACGGACTGATACACTCTTGAAGTCACTCTGTTTCACTCCATTCTCTCTACATGTCTGAACCACCTCAACAACCCTTCCTAACCTGCAGTTAGGAGAACTTTTTGACAGTGTTTTAGTATGTCCTGAACTGTTGCCAGGTTGTGATTGACAAACTTGATAAAAGCCATATAGCATGAACTGATAGGATATTCAGTTCTCTTGTATTCATTGTAACTCCTAAATTTATACTTACACTCACCCTAGTGACTGTATGTATAAAATTACTCATATTATTATTGCCTTATTAATCTTCAGTTTGCCCAAAATGCTCTGCATTATTTGGAGGCTTTCTGCATGTACACCCAAATGTCATTCATCTTTGTACAGACATTGTATCATGCTGAAAAAAAGTACATTGGAACCTCGGTACTCGAACAGCTCCGTACTCAAACAATTCAGTACTCGAATGCTTTGTTTGGTACAAAAATCTTTTGGTAGTCAACCGTTTGCTCGGCACTCGACCAAACAAACATGACCTGCCAGAACATAGGCATCAGTCTATTAGTCAGTTTATTAGTCTGCCCAAAATGCTTAGTCATGCTAGGCATGATAGTGGCCCTCTCTGTAATTAGTATTTTATAATATGTAAACCACACATTGTAACCAATATTTTATAATATGTAAACACCACATTGTAATCTTTATAGAGAATAAACTTTTGATTTGATTTGATGATGATGAGCAAATGCATGTATATTTTTTACATATGTATTTATGATGGGCTAGGATAGGTTAAGAATAAAGAATGAAGATTTTATTTCTTTGTGAAGGTTACAATGTGTAATTACAATTTTGGTTTGCTAAGTACAAAGAAAGCCACTGTCATGCCGGGGCATTTCGGGCAGACTAATCAAGGAGATAAGGTGTTTTTTAACGGTAGTTTTGAAAATGCTAGCTGAGTCAGTGGTTTTGGACTGACACGGGGAATGCTGTAGAGATTTTTATGTCTAGTATTATGTCTATGGTTCCTATTGCGACTGTTAACCCTTTGACTGTTTTGGTCGTATATGTACGTCGTACAAGCCACTATGTTTGACGTATATATACTCATAAATCTAACGGCTTCAAATCAAGCAGGAGAAAGCTGGTAGGCCCACATGTGAGAGAATGGGTCTGTGTGGTCAATGTGCACCATATAAAAAAATCCTGCAGCATGCAGTGCATAATGAGAAAAAAAAAACTCCAACCGTTTTTTTTAATTAAAATGCCGACTTTGTGGTCTATTTTCTATTTATGGTTGTATTCTCATTTTCTTGGTCTCATTTGATAGAATGGAAAACATATTGTAGAAATAGAGGTGATTTTGATTGGTTTTACTAACAAACTCACTCTAAACATTGACAAAACCTACTTCATTCAGTTTGGTAACAGAGCTACAGATGTCCCTCTTAACATAATGATAAACGGATCACCTATCACAAAACTCACAGAGGGAAAATTCTTAGGAATCCACCTTGATAATAGACTCAAATTTCAAACACATATACAACAAATTTCCAAAAAAATTTCCAAGACCGTAGGCATACTATCGAAGATACAGTACTATGTTCCACAGTCAGCCCTCCTGGCCCTATGTCACTCACTTATTTACCCCTTTCCCACCTATGGAATTTGTGCATGGGGTTCAACAGCAATAAACCATCTCAGACTATTAATTACCCAACAAAAGGCTGTAGTCAGAATGATAAATTCCCACTACAGGCAGCACACTCCACCAATATTCAAAACTCTAAACCTACTCACCATACAAAACATCCATACTTATTACTGCACCTACTACATTCATAGAACACTTAACTCTGATATAAACCCTCCCCTCAAATGTCTCCTTACCAACCTCAACAGAACACATGACCATAACACAAGGCACAGATCACAATTTGATGTTCCTCGAGTCCATCTGATGCTATGCAAAAACTCAATGCACATGAAAGGCCCTAAAATCAGGAATTCATTACCTGTGAATATAAAAGAAACACTGTCTGTTTATAAATTCAAGTCTCTTCTCAAAAATCACTTACTCACCCACAACTAAATAAATACTGAATAATTGTATCTCATAAATTGTCTCGTAAATGTTTCTCATTATTGTATCTCATAAATGTCTAACCTGTGACCCAGTCAAACTTTATTTTTTAATTACATTACCTAACAGAATATTCCAATCTACTGAATGCTCAGCAACACAGTAAATGACCATATGACCTGTCTTTGTAATACTCATTTGTGCTAAATTGTTATCTGTTTATAATAATGTTTTTACCACTGAATATATCATTGCTTAGTTAATCTTAAGTTAATTTTAAGCCTGCCCATAATGCTCTGCATACAAGGGGCTTTGGCATGTTGCACTGTAATAACTGTATTCCTTTGTACTTCACTGTATCATGTTCAAATAAATAAATAAATAAATAAATAAATAAATAAATAAATAAAAGTACCTTGAAGTGGAGCTCAAAGTAGGGGAAATGTTTGATTTTTGCCATTGTTCAAAAGTAAACAAATGATGTCATTGTCCAATAAATGTCCAACTAGCCATTCTAATATGCAGTCATGAATGGGTTGACATTATTTATACAATTATTACAATATTGCAGTAGTCTGCATAACAGTAAATCTTCTATTTTTTGTTTACCTGGAGTTTACCTGGAGAGAGTTCCGGGGGTCAACGCCCCCGCGGCCCGGTCTGTGACCAGGCCTCCTGGTGGATCAGAGCCTAATCAACCAGGCTGTTGCTGCTGGCTGCACGCAAACCAACATACAAGCCACAGCCCGGCTGGTCAGGAACCGACTTTAGGTGCTTGTCCAGTGCCAGCTTGAAGACTGCCAGGGGTCTGTTGGTAATCCCCCTTATGTATGCTGGGAGGCAGTTGAACAGTCTCGGGCCCCTGACACTTATTGTATGGTCTCTTAACGTGCTAGTGACACCCCTGCTTTTCATTGGGGGGATGTTGCATCGTCTGCCAAGTCTTTTGCTTTTGTAGTGAGTGATTTTCATGTGCAAGTTCGGTACTAGTCCCTCTAGGATTTTCCAGGTGTATATAATCATGTATCTCTCCCGCCTGCATTCCAGGGAATACAGTTTTAGGAACCTCAAGCGCTCCCAGTAATTGAGGTGTTTTATCTCCGTTATGCGCGCTGTGAAGGTTCTCTGTACATTTTCTAGGTCAGCAATTTCACCTGCCTTGAACGGTGCTGTTAGTGTGCAGCAATATTCCAGCCTAGATAGAACAAGTGACCTGAAGAGTGTCATCATGGGGTTGGCCTCCCTAGTTTTGAAGGTTCTCATTATCCATCCTGTCATTTTTCTAGCAGATGCGATTGATACAATGTTATGGTCCTTGAAGGTGAGATCCTCCGACATGATCACTCCCAGGTCTTTGACGTTGGAGTTTCGCTCTATTTTGTGGCCAGAATTTGTTTTGTACTCCGATGAAGATTTAAATTTCCTCGTGTTTACCATATCTGAGTAATTGAAATTTCTCAGCGTTGAACTTCATATTGTTTTCTGCAGCCCGCTGAAAGATTTGGTTGATGTCCGCCTGGAGCCTTGCAGTGTCTGCAATGGAAGACACTGTCATGCAGATTCGGGTGTCATCTGCAAAGGAAGACACGGTGCTGTGGCTGACATCCTTGTCTATGTCGGATATGAGGATGAGGAATAAGATGGGAGCGAGTACTGTGCCTTGTGGAACAGAGCTTTTCACCGTAGCTGCCTCAGACTTTACTCTGTTGACGACTACTCTCTGTGTTCTTTTAGTGAGGAAAATTATAGATCCATCGATCGACTTTTCCTGTTATTCCTTTAGCACACATTTTGTGCGCTATTACGCCATGGTCACACTTGTCGAAGGCTTTTGCAAAGTCTGTATATATTACATCTGCATTCTTTTTATCTTCTAGTGCATTTAGGACCTTGTCGTAGTGATCCAATAGTTGAGACAGACAGGAGCGACCTGTTCTAAACCCATGTTGCCCTGGTTTGTGTAACTGATGGGTTTCTAGATGGGTGGTGATCTTGCTTCTTAGGACCCTTTCAAAGATTTTTTATGATATGGGATGTTAGTGCTATCGGTCTGAAGTTCTTTGCTGTTGCTTTACTGCCCCCTTTGTGGAGTGGGGCTATGTCTGTTGTTTTTAGTAACTGTGGGATGACCCCCGTGTCCATGCTCCCTCTCCATAGGATGGAAAAGGCTCGTGATATGGGCTTCTTGCAGTCTTGATGAACACGGAGTTCCATGAGTCTGGCCCTGGGGCAGAGTGCATGGGCATGTCATTTATGCCTGTTCGAAGTCATTTGCGTCATGGATAACATCGGATAGGCTTGTGTTAACCAAATTTTGTGGCTCTCTCATAAAAAATTAATTTTGATCTTCGACTCTCAGTCTGGTTAGCGGCTTGCTAAAAACTGAGTCATATTGGGGCTTGAGGTAGCTCATCATTTCCTTGCTGTCATCTGTGTAGGACCCATCTTGTTTAAGTAGGGGCCCAATACTGGATGTTGTTCTCGACTTTGATTTGGCATAGGAGAAGAAATACTTTGGGTTTCTTTCGATTTCATTTATGGCTTTTAGTTCTTCCCGCGATTTCTGACTCCTATAAGATTCCTTTAGCTTGAGTTCGATGCTTGCTATTTCTCTGACCAGTGTCTCCCTACGCATTTCAGATATATTGACCTCTTTTAGCCGCTCTGTTATTCTTCTCCGTCGCCTGTAAAGGGAGCACCTGTCTCTCTATTTTACATCTACTCCTCCTTTTTCTTAGAGGAATAAGCCTTGTGCATACATCGAGTGCCACCAAGTTAATCTGTTCTAGGCTTAAGTTGGGGTCTGTGTTGCTTAGTACAGTGGACCCCCGCATAACGATTACCTCCGAATGTGACCAATTATGTAAGTGTATTTATGTAAGTGCGTTTGTACGTGTATGTTTGGGGGTCTGAAATGGACTAATCTACTTCACAATATTTCTTATGGGAACAAATTCGGTCAGTACTGGCACCTGAACATACTTCTGGAGTGAAGAAATATCGTTAACCGGGGGTCCACTGTATAGCTTCCCAGCTTATATCTGTTAGGACTTGGTTTACTTGGTCCCACTTTATGTTTTTGTTATTGAAGTTGAATTTGGTGAATGCTCCCTCGTGACTAGTCTCATTATATCAGTCTGGGGCTCCACGCATACATGTCTGAACCTCAATTATGTTGTGATCTGAGTATATTTTTTTTGATATGGTGACATTTCTTATCAGATCATCATTGTTAGTGTTAGTTAGTTAGTTTAATATGTTTATTATGCACCCCATACCCATCCTGTGGGCGGTAGTCAAAAGATTACAGAGGTACATAATTGGTCCAGGGACTGGACTCCAAAGTTTTGATAGCTGAGCAAGTTACAGAGGTAATGAACTCACAATTTACAAAGGTAATGAACTCACAATTTACAAAGGTAATGAACTCCAGGTAAGTCTGGTCACAATCATGACAAGTTACAAAGGTATTTACAGATTACAGAGGTACTTAATGGGTCCAGGGACTGGGCCCCCAAAGTTTTGATAGCTGAACTAGGTACGAAGGTAAGAGCTCACAAGTTACAAAGGTAATGAATTCTGTAGAATGGTTACTTACTTTTTATACTTTGGCTACAATCATGAACAAATTATAGAGTAATGAGCAATTCACACTTCCACCCCGGGCACAACTGTAATGAGTTATTGTGCAAATATTGAATGTTGAGTCCCAAAACACACCCCCCCCACACCACACACCACCACACACACACACCACACACCCACACACACCACACACACAACACACACACACACACACACACACACACACACACACACACACACACACACCACACACACAACACACACACAACACACACACAACCAAAACCCCCACACCCCACCCCAAAAAACAAACCCACCCCCACAAAACACCCAAAAACCCCCACCACCCAACATAAACCAAAAATTACAAAAACCCATCAATCTGTCGGGACAAAAAAGAAAAGGTAGGCACCAAAACAGTCTTTTCCGGCAGTTCAAATAAAGAATCAAGGGGCCCCAAGTAGATAGTTTCTAGTTTTACTATATATGGTTAAATGGGGGGGGACAAGGGAAAACATTAAAGGGGGATCTAGAGAAAAACCTCGGGTTTGGGGGAAAATGGGAAATCCCAATTTTGTGGAATTTAAAAGGCAGAGGGATTGAAATTTGTTTCCAAGCAAAAAGGAAAAGACGTCCTTGGTTTCCAGGTTAGGAGCAAAAATAAACCCAAATGAAATTTTCGATTTTGCCCGAAAAAGGAATTTTGGAAATTGGGAAAAAGAGTATGCGCAGATTAAGGGGCCCACAGTGAAAACCAACATAAGTTAACCCGAAACTGGTATCCAGAGGCCAAAAAAACCGTATTGGGAATTTAGAACCCAAACGATAAGGTTTGGTGGCAACGGTTTGGAATTTAAGGGCCCGGGACTCTGGGGAAAAGTTTCCACAAAATCCCAAGTTTTTTCAGTAGGGAAATCGGCCGAACCCTGAGGATTTTTTTGGGGGGAGGGGGGAAAAATTTTTTTTTTCCCCGCGGATTTTTTTTTTTTGGGGGGGGAAAATATTTTTCCCCCCAAAGGAAGACGAAATTTGGGGCATTTTTCCTTTCCTGGGAGTTTTTTTTCCTTCCTGGCACTAAAAAACCTCTCCCTCTTGAGTGGCTGTGGCTACCCGGTTTTCCCATGGCCTGGATGTTTTGTATCTTTTTGTACCCTTTGATGGTGTGCCTGGAAATTAAGTTGTAGCACAGTCTTTCCTGTACTGAAGAGGTACACATTTCAGGGTGAAAAACTTACAGGAAGGGAGTTTGCATTTTCCTGTTGTCATATGGGCATGGCATTTTCTAGGGTGGTCATAGTTGCACGTCCCGTCTGTTTTTCCAGATTTCCCATGTCTGCAGATACCAAGTGCATAGTATGTGCACAGGCTTGGTTTCCGTTTGCCTTGGGCTTCTGTGACTGTATTCCCTGTTGGTGCATGTTTCCCTGTCTTATTCCTATCCTCCCTAGCACCAACAATGGAGCTCCCACCAGTTGTTTTTGGTAATATATCCTCACTATTGCTAGTGGAGTTCTCTTGTTTGCTATTTCCTGTGGTATTTCAAAATAGAAAGCAAGAGTAATATCATAGGGGCCTGGAGACATGACTGATGAACAAAGAAAATGTTATTTTAGAGCTAGGAATGTCTGCATTGTTCATCCTGGACCCTATTTTGAAACTGGCATATTTTTTAATTTACGTGAAATTGGCCAAATTACCAATTTCTGACCACTTTATTGGGTAGTTGAAATCGGTAAATGGGCGGTTTCTTGTACTCAGTCGATAGAACAAAAGAACTAAAGAAATAGCTACGAGTTTGGTCGATTGGAACAATGGAATTAGCTGAAAATAGGGCTCAAAGTGGGGGAAATTGCCGATTCGTTAATATCGCTGTGGTTGCTAACTTAGTGAGAGTGTAATTCCGTAAGTTTTTCATCAAATTTTGTACTTTTGGTGTCATTACCATCGGGAAAAGATTCTCTATCATTTTATAAGAATTTTTTTTTTTTTTTTTTTTTAAATTTTTGCGACACAAGGAGATACCTCAGGATTTGGGGTTGCGACAGTCAAGGGGTTAAAGAAAGCGCTGCAGGTATAGTTTGAATGTGTGTATAGTATAGTTTGAATGTGCATATAGAATAGTTTGAATGTGCCTGTAGTATAGCTTGAATGTGCATGGATGTAATGCATATGATAAGAAAGAGATGATTGAGAATGTTGTTAATAATGAAAAGAAGCAGTATGTTCTGGCTCTAAACGGAAGAAAGCTGAAAGGGGCTATGAGATTTTCAGTGGGGAAAAATAAATAATATTAGGACAGGTGTATCTGAGGGAGTTAGAGCTAAGGAAGGAATAGTGGTACTGTTGAATGATCAGTTATGGAAGGAAAAGAGGGAGTATATTTGTATAAATTCAAGGATTAAACATTTGCCTAAGCTTTTATCAAAATTTTGTCAACATTTGCAACTTCTATGTGAATGTGAAAATATCTGCATAGGAAGTGTATGTGGGAGACTTCAAGTTAGGTCTTGTTTTGTTTGCAATTGCTTTGCAGAATCATAATGCTACAATTAATATTTTCCTAAATGTTTACAGTTAAAATTATCAGTAAAGCGCAAGTTTGTAGTGGACAGCATAGATAAAACCACCAGTAATTGGTTGCGCTATGTCAACTGTCCACGAACATTCTCGGAAATGAACCTTGAAGCTTTCCAGTACAAGGGCAACATATACTATGTTACACTCTGTGATGTTGAAAGGTTAGTCTTACAGCTTGATTTTTGTCCTGTATAGGTATTATTAATTAGCATTTTCAAGATGGTATGTGACTTATTCTTCCAGTTGTACACTACTTATGAATTGTTTTAGTCATGGTTTGTAACCTATTCCTCCTGTTGTACATTAGTAATGACTTATTCCAGTCATAGTTTGCAACCTATTCTTCTATTATATTTTGTATTGTATAAAATGTTTACCAATATATCTCTACCTTTATGCCTTTGATAAGACTCCAAGTGTACTTCTCATTTTCTTTTCTTTCAACATACTGGCTGTATCCCACCGAGGCAGGGTGGCCCAAAAAGAAAAACAAAAGTTTCTCTTTTTAACTTTAGTAATGCATACAGGAGAAGGGGTTACCAACCCCTTGCTCCTGGCATTTTAGTCACCTCTTACCACATGCATGGCTTACAGAGGAAGAATTCTGTTCCACTTCCCCATGGAGATAAAAGGAAATAAACAAGAACAAGAACTAACAAGAAAATAGAAGAAAACTCAGAGGGTATGTATATACTATATGCTTGTACATGCATGTGTAGTGTGTCTTAACCCTTTCAGGGTTGGCAGGCCCTCTCCCAAACTTGTTCTCAGGGTCAGAAAATATTTGAAAAAAAAAATAAAAAATTTCTTATGAATTCTAAATTTTATAGGCTAAAAAAAATTTTTGCCATTATTACTTACTGAGATATGGAGGCGTATGGCAAGATTACTGACTGCCGGTCACCTTTTTCTATTATTATTTAATATTTTTTCTTTTCAAGTAATTTTTATGGCCTGTGAGACCAAAATGAGGACTGTTTTGTAAATATTCACTCATTCTGTACTACACAATCACTGCACGAACACTGTTGTCATTACATGTATATTGTTTACAAAACATGCTTATACAAATGAAGAAAATAAAATGTTGTTTATTAAAATTTTTCTATATTATATATACATATATATACAGTCACTGGACATGTTCTTAGAAGTTCTGCAGCCTGTGGAAGTCTTTGAAATACTGTGTCATGCACAATGGTGTTTTACATTCCTCACACATAAAACGAGTGTCTTTGCGTTGTTGTGGGCTTTTTTTTTTTTGTATGTGCACAGACGTAACACCTCTTCTGAGCCTTTTTCTTGAAAGCAGTAGCAGGCGGTTTCATTAGGAAGTGATCACCATGCTTCAGACAAGAAGGTAGTTGTTGATAATTTCGTGGGCAGTTTTCTATTGCAGGAGTTGTTGCTTGGTACTTGATTATTATTTGTCTGATAACAGACAAACAAAATTCGCCATATGGTAGCTTGTTTCTGGTCCTCATCTTATACATATTACAAGTATTGAGCATGGAAATATCCAGAATATGGAAAAAGTGTTTTATGTACCACTTATAACTCTTGTGAACACAATCAACAAACCGAATCTGCATGTCACATTTGTCCACTGAACGCATATTGAGGGTGTAGTCAATCACAGCTGCAGGTTTTAGAATGGGTTCATTACTCTCTCTATGCTGCCTGCCAGTGTCTGCCATCTCGTTTGTCATGCCACCGAAATGCCATGATGTCATTGGTAGCAAACGCCTGCACCTCACCTCTACGAGTGCCAGCGTCGAACCTGGGCATGTGTTTATGATTTCCACGCACTGTGCCACACACACACGGGGCCAGGAGCTGAGTCTCGACCCCTGCAACCACAATTAGGTGAGTACATCTGTCATGTTCACTTGCAAGAAATCACTGAGTAAGGGGGTTATGTACCAGTTATCAGTGTATGTAATATATGCCCCTTACCAGGATATGGTTCCATCATTGTTCTAACCACATCACCAGAGATACCCAGTAACTTCCTGGTATCTCGCAATGTATAACTTCCAGTGTACACAATTATATCCAATACAAGACCACTGTAGCAATCACAAAGCACAAACAACTTTACACCAAAGTGTTTCCTCTTCCTTGGTATGTACTGCTTGAATGAGAGTCTTCCTTTGAACAGAATCAAAGACTCATCAATAACAAGTTTCCTGAAGGGATAAAAATACATACTGAATTTCTGTTTCAGATACACAAACATATTCGTAATCTTCTATAATCTGTCGTTTCTGTCAAACCTGGTTTTGTCTGAGAAGTGAAGCATATGTAACAGTAGCACAAATCGAGTCACTCCTATTATATCACTGAAACCTGGGGTTGCAATCAGGCGGTCTGTTGACCAGTATGATTTGACACTGTGCTTATACACATGTGGCATAAGCATTATTGTGGCAAACAAAAGATACATCTCAGTCACAGTTGTCTCCTTCCATTAGTGTAGGCATGATTTTAGTGAAAGAGTGAAAGTATTGTTTGCCAGGGTGCAATCAAAGTACATATCTGTTGCTTTCCCTGACAATAATTTCCATCATGGGTTCGTCAAAGAATAAGTTGAAACATTCCAGTTCAGTGGCATTGTTCCCAAGTGTACAAGATGGCCGTATTCCACTTTGACTTTCATCAAAGTGATGGGGATTGGGAACAAAATTGGCAGCTTCCTGCCAATCCCAGGTGTGGTCTGCTGGTGGGTACTGGATACTGACAGGTGGTTGTGGTTGTGGAGGTTGGTGTGGTGGGTGGGTGGTGAATGGTGGTCTTGTTGTAGTTCACCTGAGTCAGCGGTGTGGGTGGCAGCATGGCCCACTGCTGGTGCCTCACGGCTGGCACCACCACTACCACCAACAGATGCATGCACATTTTCCATCCCAATTGCAACACTATCATCTATCTGTTCCTGTTGTACAGCCATGGGATGTAATCCGAGATGTACTCCTTCTCCTTGGAATAACATATTGCACACTACCAGAGTGCATATACCATCGTATATACTGACTCTTCACTGGAGAATATTCTACTTCACTCTTGCTACTGGAACTGTTTTCAAGAGCTTGGAGTTCATATTCACTATCACTATCATCACCATTGCTCACATCTGAATCCTGGATATGGGAAAATACGAATTTCCTCTTTCGTTCTGGTACAACTGAACGTGAACAAGATGGCCCAGCACCAGAGGTGGAAGGTTGAGGGTCATCTGGATTTTCCTCACTATTACCGGTATTATGGTCATTAGTTTCGGTCACAACCTCATCAAAACCTTCAAACTCATCTTCACTGACACTTCCATCTGTATTAGAACTGTCACTGGGGAACAGAAGTGTCCCAATTCGCTGAGGAGTGAGGAGTTTCTTACCGCGAAGCATGGTGAGCAAGGTGTACTAAAATGGCATTCCCACAATGCACCACTGGGTCCCTGAATTTTTTCCTACCACGCACACTGACCACGCAGACTCATTCTCACACATCTAGGCCTACCAGCTGTTTCCCACTTAATTTGAAGCTGCTAGAATTTACGCGTACTAGTACGGCACCAACCCTGAAAGGGTGGCCTGGTGGCTAACGCTCTCGCTTCACACAGCGAGGGCCTGGGTTCGATTCCCAGCCAGAGTAGAAACGTTGGGTGTGTTTCTTTCCACCTGTTGTCTATGTTCCCCATCAGTAAAATGGGTACCTGGGTGTTAGTCGACTGGTGTGGGTCGCATCCTGGGGGACTGACCTCATTTGCCTGACATGCGGAGCATAACAAGGGGCTTTCTATATAGTAGTATGTCATTGTTGTCAGCTAGGCCTGTATACCATGTACATGTACTTGTAGTAAATAAAGATATTATTATTATTATTATTATTGGTTTAAAAAAAATATGATTAATTTTGCACATATTTTCAGTAATTCAGAGCTGATGGTCTGGTATGGTGACGAGTACGGCAAGGAGCTGGGAATATTGTCTTTCCTCAAGAATAGGATATCCATGTGCAGAACTCAGAGTAAGATCAAAGTTCTTACTGTATGTTGTAGTAACTGTATAGTACCTGTATTTATTGTATTAACTGGACCTTTGTCATTTTAACTTCATACCTATATTGTTGTATTAACTGTACTTTTTTTTGTTCATAGTGTACTGGCCATCTCCCACCAAGTCAGGGTGACCTAAAAATTAATTAACTGCACCTTTATTTATTATGTTAACTGTACCTATATTTGTTATATTAACTATGTATATTTGTTATATTAACTGTACCTATATTTGTTATATTAACTATTTATATTTGTTATATTAACTGTACTGTACCTATATTTGTTATATTAACTGAGCCTATATTTATTGTATTAACTGTATCTATATTTGTTGTATTTACTACATTTATTTTTGTTGCACTAACTACATGTATATTGTATTAGTTACTCCTATTTTTAATGTATTAACTACACCTATAGTATGTATACTGTCTTAACTATTACTTTATTAGTTGTATTAAGTGTACTATGTACATATACCTATCAGTGATCATCTTGAGCAGTCTTGGATTGAACATCAGCTTGTACATCATACCTTAATTTTGTCCAGTGAGTTTTCCAGGGAAATTTTAAGTTGGTGTTGGTAAAGCTTGCACATCATCCGCAGGAATTGTAGCATTGTCAAAAATGCTAATAGGAATGTTTAAATTATTTTCAATAAGTCACTTTGATATGTGGGTTATCCTAGTGTAAATTCTGCATAATATGCTTGTGTCATTAAGGTGGGAAGTTACACTGCCTGCACTCTGAAGGAGGGGTGGGGCTATTTGCAGTTTGGAGGGGCATCTGAGCTGTAGTATCTATGTGTGTCTGGCAAGGCAGTAATAGTGTGAATGATGATAAAAGTGTTTCTTGTTCTATCTAGGCTGTAATATTGCTACACACTAACAGTGCCTTTCAAGGCAGGTGAAATTGCTGACCTAGAAAATGTACAGAGAACCTTCATGGCACACATAAGTGTGATAAAACACCTAAATTACTGGGAATGGTTAAAGCTCTTTGACTTGTGTTCCCTGGAATGCAGGTGGGAGAGATACATAATTATGTACACTTGGAAAATCCTAGAGGGATTAATACCAAATTTGTTCAGAAAATCGCTCCCTACGAAAGCAAAAAACTCAGCAGGCAATGCAACATCCTCCCAATGAAAAGCAAGGGCACCACTAGCACGATAAGAGAGAACATAATAAGTGTCAGGGGTCCAAGACTGTTCAACTGCCTCCCTGCACACATAAGGGGGATTACCAATACACCCCTGGCTGTCTTCAAGAAGGCTCAGGACAGGTACCTAAAGTAAGTACCTGATCAGCCGGGCTGTGGTTTGTATGTCGGTTTATGTGCGGCCAACAGTAACAGCCTGGTTGATCAGGCCCTGATCCACCATGAGGCCTGGTCATAGACTGGGCCTTGGGGGCATTAACCCCCGAAACCCTCTCCAGGTATACTGCATGTATGGTGAATATATATTTGCAAACTTCTCGGTAAAAAATTTAAAAAACCCTATAGCAATTGGGACTATATACAGGATGCCTCACAGTAATATCCCAGCCTTTAGTGATAAGCTAAAACATTGTTTACAGATACACAAATAAATAAATACCACCTACTACTAGCAGAAGACATCAACATCAGCCTTGGCCTAACAGATGACCAACCTGTTGCTGACTTCATTATCAATATGAACAATAAACTTCTCATACCCACAATTACAAAACCAACACGGCTAACTGAGATGAGTGCAGCCATAATTGAGCATGTATGGACAAACATACTAGGTCCCCCCCTTAAGGTAGGGATAATCATTGACAACACTACTGACCACTATCCTCCTAACGAACATCTGTAAGTAACCAATGGAATATAATAAGTTCTCCTTTCGACTCCATGATGAGACTTCAATAAGTAACTTCACTGTAGAACTAAGCTAAGTTGACTGGCCTACAGAATTTTCCAATACTGCTGGTATTGATGAATGGGTATAGATATTTCTAAACAAAATTCAAAGACTATATAATAAACATTGTCCCATAAAAGCTAATCAGATCACCAATAAAAGACTAAGTTGCCCATGGATTACTAACAGCATCCTAAGATCCATCAATATGAAACATCAAAATGAGAAACAGTATAGAACGGGCTTAATAACTAAACAGCTTATCAGACGCTGTACATCAGTTCTCAACAAATTAATCAGAAAGTCTAAGCAACTACACTATTCAAATAGATTCACTGAAATGAGAGGAGATATAAAAAAGACCTGGAAAACACTCTCTCAGATCCTGGGCACCCACAAACTGAACAAAACTAGTAATATTGTACTAACTAAACTAATGAACCAAAACTTCAGCCTATTGATATAGCTTACAAGTTAATTGATTTCTTCTCAACAATAGGATCAAATCTTGCCAGTAAAATTCCAATTACCAATAACCAAGCTAATGATGGAAACTAGATGGAAACTCCCCAACATCGCTGTATCTTACAATAACAGAGCCCACTGAGGTTACCATGATTATTAACTCTCTAAAAAACAAATCAGGAAATGTAACCCAAGTACCACCACTACTGTATAAACGAGCAGCTCAAATCCTTTCACCCACCATTGCATTACTCTTCAACAAATCACTAGAAACCAACACTTTCCCAGCATCACTCAAACTAGCTAGGATTACACCAATACACAAAGGTGGTGACCCAGTAGATGTAAACAATTATAGGTCAGTATCAAACTTGCCTTTATTTTCCAAAATCTTTGAGAAACTCATTATATTCCTTCAAAACATCACAAAGCATCCTTAACCCCTGCCAGTTTGACTTCAGGAGAAACAAAAGCACAAATGATGCAATAATAAAAATGCTAGACCTACTTTACACAGCACTGTAAAAAAATAAATAAATACTCGCTTGGACTCTTTATCGACCTTAAGAAAGCTGTTGATGCAGTAGATCACAGCATCCTATTCCTTAGGATTGATCATTACAGTATAAGAGGCCATGCACTTGCATTTATCAAGACCTACTTTACTGTCAAGGGCACAACCTCATCAACAAGACCCCTAGACACTGGTGTACCACAGGGTAGCATTCTTGGCCTCCTTCTTTTCCTTTTATACATCAATGACCTTCCAAGCGTATCACAACTTACGCCTATTCTCTTTGCTGACAGTACAACTTTTGTCATCTCCCACCCAAATCTTGCCTCATTCAACACTATTGTTAATGAAGAACTCGCAAAAATAGCAACCTGGTTGACTGCCAATAATCTCACACTTAATATAGATAAAACCTTTTACATTATGTTTGGGAGTAAAGCAAGTGAGGTCCAACTAAATACATGTATTATGATTAACAACACCCTTATTGCTAAACATAATGAAGGAAAATTACTGGGTCTGCACTTTGATAGCAACCTGAAATTTAACACCCGTATCCAACACGTAACAAAAAAAGTTTCTAAAACAGTTGGCATCCTCTCAACGATACATTACTATGTACCACAAACAGCACTACTTATGCTATACTATTCACTGATCTACTCATACCTCACCTATGCTATTTGTTCCTGGGGCTCCACAACGAAAAACCACCTAAAATAAAAAATAAACAAAAAGCCACAGTACAAATGATCACACAGTCCACTGCTAGACAACCAACCAACCCCTTCCCTCCTGCTCACTATACAAAACATCCCCTCTCACTATTGTGCAACGTTCTAATATAAATCCTGACCTGAAATGCTTTCTTGGCAGTTGCAGTAGGACTCATAGACACAACACTAGGCATGAAAGCCTTTGTGACATTTCCCATGTAAGGCTAAGTCTTTAGCATTTTTAAAAGAACACTTTATCTCCTTAACCTATCCCAGCCCTTCATAAATACATAGGTAAAAACTATACACGCATTTGCTCAATATCATGAACATAGGTAAAACTTTCTCATCAATATAATCAATACAGTGGTACCTTGGGATACAAACAGCTCAAAACTTGAACAGTTATGTAAGTATATTATGTAAGTGCTTTTGTAAGTGTATTTTTGGGGGTCTGAAATGGATTAATCTAATTTACATTATTCCTTATGGGAACAAATTCATTCGGTATTGGCACTTGAACAGCCTTCTCAAGCGAAATAAATTCATATCCTGAGGTACCACTGTATATATTTACTCTCAATACAGTGGACCCCTGCATAACGATTACCTCCAAATGCGACCAATTATGTAAGTGTATTTATGTAAGTGCGTTTGTACGTGTATGTTTGGGGGTCTGAAAGGAATAATCTACTTCACAATATTCCTTATGGGAATAAATTCGGTCAGTACTGGCACCTGAACATACTTATGGAGTGAAAAAATATCGTTAACCGGGGGTCCACTGTATCTGTATTCATCTCAAATGTTAATCACTCCATTGTGTCCACCTAAGGTTAATCAAAATTGTACATCTTCCCTATAAGACTTATTAAAGCCATATAACATTACCTAATAGAATACTCAATCTCTTGTATTCTTTGTAACTTGTCTAATGACCATATGTACTGGTATTGGCTTATTAATCTTTAGTTAATTTTGAGTTTCCCTGAAATGCTCTGCATACAAATTCAAAGTTTATTCTCTATAAGGATTACAATGCTGAGTTTACAGAAATTTGGTTATTGTTTGGTTTACATGTAGTAAAATTGTGATTACAGAGTGTACCACTAGAACGCTTAGCATGGCTAGGCATTTCGGGCATACTTAGTTTTATTCTTAATTGTAAAATATTACAAATTATGAGGTAAGTTGGTATTATGGCTAAGTGACTAAATACTAGTTTGTGAGTTTAGCAATGTGAATGCTTTTGTTTTGGCACAGTACATAGTTTCAGTATTGGAGTATCACAGGATTCATTATTTTAAGACTGAGATTAATATTTCTGTTTATGGTCAAATGAGTGAGTGAGTATAAGTGTGAACCACCAGGTGGTATTCGTGTAGTTAGTTGACGGGGTGTATCAGGGAGATAAGATGTTTTCTAATGGTAGTTTTGAAGGTGATGAATGTGCCTGCAGTTCTAGAGTTCTCAGGTAGGGTATTCCAGATTTTAGGGCCTTTGACATACATTGAATTTTTGTAAAGGTTTAGTCGGACACAGGGAATGTCGTAGAGATGTTTGTGTCTGGTGTTATGCCTGTGGGTTCTGTCACAACTATCAAGAAAGCATTTTAGGTCAAGGTTGATATTAGAGTTTAAGGCCCTGTAGATATAGATTGCACAGTAGTAAGTGTGGATGTACTGAACTGGGAGTAAGTTTAGATCTATGAAGAGTGTGGGGGGGGGGGGTGTTGCCAGGGATGGATTTAGTGATTATTCTTACTGCAGCTTTTGTTGGGGTTTATTATTGGCTTTAGGTGTGTTGCTGCAGTTGATCCCCAAGCACAAATAGCATAGGTGAGGTATGGATAATAAGTAGTGGTATAGTTGACGTAAAGGGCATTTGACGGCAGTAGTATCGTATGTTGGGGGGATTCCCAACCGTTTTGGGATCTTTTTTGGCTATATGCTGGATATGGGTGCTGAATTCAGGTTGTTGTCAAGGTATAAGCCTAGGAATTTTCCCCCATTATTTCTGGTAATTAGAGTGTTGTCAATCTTAATGTTAATTTGTGCATCTCCTGCTCTGCTACCAAACATAATATAGTAGGTTTTGTCAGTGTTAAGCGTAAGTTTATTGGCTGTCATCCAAGTCGATATTTTAATCAGCTCCTCATTCACAATGGTGTTGAGGGTGGCAAGATTAGGGTGAGAGATGACATAAGTCGTGTCATCAGCAAAGAGAATGGGTTTCAGGTGTTGGGATACGTTTGGAAGGTCATTGATGTATATGAGGAAGAGCAGGGGACCAAGGACACTTCCCTGCGGAACTCCAGTATCAAGTGGCCGTGTTGCTGATGCTGTGTCTTTAATGGTGACGTACTGATACCTATTAGTAATGTAAGATTTGAAATAAGCAAGCGCATGGCCTCTTATACCGTAGTGATCAAGTTTGTGGAGTAGGATGTCGTGGTCTACTGTGTCAAAAGCTTTTCTTAGGTCAATAAAAATTCCTAGTGGATATTCCTTATTTTCCAATGCTGTGTAAAGCAGATCTAGCATTTTATTGCACATAGTGTAGTAGGAACATACACTAGTTTGTTATTTGTAGTTTGAGAGAAAATGGAAAATTAGGTATGATTATAAGATAATTTTAACAGTGCTTAAGTAGGAAAGAAAAAGGTAATTCAGATATTTTTAAAGAGTAAGCATCCTATTAACAAAAAATAAATTGTGAATTGGGAATCTGGGAAGATAACACAAAATGGGTCACACAAGGAACTGTGTGGGACACCTGGGATAATGAGGTAGTAAATACTATCTAGGTGATAGTACAGGGATTAGTTCAATAATGACATAATAACATACACTAACGTAGTAAGGATTTGGTCACTAATATCAGTCAGACTCTGTAATGTTTGCATCATGAAGGAAGTTTGTTAGTTCATTTTCATTTGTAATGTAGTACACATTAGTTTTTCTTACTAGAATTTGTCCATCACGTTCAAAGCACTGGTGAATTTTATTATTATTCTCTCGTTTTAGCTTTCTCACTCTGTACAGGAGGTTCTGTCATTTTTTTGTGAGACACTCGTTTATGTATATATCTTTTTTTGCTTTGATAGATGAAATTATTAGATCTTTTTTCCTGTCTTGTGTGTGAAATCTGAGCATAACACTTATGCACTGCATGGGGCAGGATTTTTTTATGCTGTGCACACTCATCACACAGACCCAATCTCTTATATCTAGGCCAAAATTTACTGCTCACAGCTTATTTGTGTGAGCTGAGCCCATGATGTAGAACTACATGATGGACCCTGGCCTCAGTGATGTAGTTCTAAGTGACAGCCACTGAAAGGGTTTAGCCAATTCCATTGCTCAGTTTGGCAAAAGTCTTAGCTATTTTGCTAGTATGCCATGTATTCTGTTGATTCAGCACAAGAAACAGCCTATTCAACTTTCAAAACTACCCTATACAGTGCACAGAAGTTGGTAATTTGGCCAGTTTTATACAAAATTAAAATAATTCCAATTTAATAACAGAGTCCAAAATAAAGACTAGATATTACAGGTACTAACACAAAATTTCTTCCATTCATTAATCATATCCCCAGGCCTCTCTTATATATTACACTTGCCTTCCATTTTGAGTTCGTTGTCACATAAAAAATCAAAGATTTACCCTATTTTTCAAATAGTAAAATATTACCAGGAATGATTGGTCAAGGTTTACAGTGCCCCAATAATTGACTCGGACTTTCTAAAAATCCATAAAACAGGCCAAGGGGTATAGAGAGAAAATTGCCAAAAGTTTAATATTTCTGCTGTTTTGAGGCTGATTTCAAGCTACTTCTGGTCATGAAACCAACCAAAATCATATCTTTCATTCTATCAAATGGTATCAAGAAACAGTCAATAAATCAATAAAAACCATCCTAGAAAACACCTCAAAACTGCTATTTTAAACTGAACACAAGGTCAGAAATTTGCTTTTCCCATCATGCACTGCAAGGGGCTGGATTTATTTTTTAAACTGTGCACAAATTTACCACCCACAGCTTATCTGAGGGAGCTGGGCTCAAGAAAGTAGATCTACGTAAGAAAAACTGGAATCAGTAACGTCGATCTACATACATACATTTAAGAAGATGAAAGGGTTAATGACAACAAGATTTCTGTGTTCTCTTGCTTGTTGGCCAAGAAGTGTTTGGAAATGGTTATGCTACTGCTAAGCTGTAGATGGTTGTGAGATGTCTGTTTGTTTTATTAGCTGATAAAACTGATACATTTCATCAGCTGACGCCATCACACAATTCACAATTTTTCTCATTTATGATACTGTACTTACAAGAAATTTTTTTATCTTAATCATAATATCCTTGTTCTCTTGCATGTTGATGTAGAGGTGTTTGGAGAGTGTTATGTAGCTCATTTTTATAGTAGACTGCTACAAGTGGTCTGTTTTATAAACTGATGCCACTCGCAGTCCTCTTGGATGCCACCATGGTTACTAACCATAGAAAGAATGGGCAGATGAAAAGATCAAAAACTAATTTACTAATATTAGCCGAGTTTGGTATGGGACACATGTGCACAGAGAACTGATGATGATGGAGGATTATTTGCATTATGAGTGTGACTAGGCCTTCCCTGTAAAGACACTGGCCTTGTGTCTTGGCTGACCACAAGACAGAGAGGGAAAAAATTCCGTGGCATGCCATATTTTCCCCCAAATCTATGCTGCCCTACCTGGTTATGGCACACTCATTGATAAGCTGCTGTAATTTTTCAGCTGTCTTATAGCAAAAAAGTATTAAAAGATCACCTCTTAAATGAAGGTATAAAGAACTTCTTATTTTTAACTGCATACTGTTTCATTTATATATATTTGCAAATATTTCTTATAATTTTTCCTCATAGAAATTTGATTATTTTTTCCACAGTTTTTTTTAACACCCCAGCCATCTCCCAGCAAGGTAAGGTGACCTGACAAAGAAGAATAGACTTTCACTGTCAGTCACTCAATCACTGTCTTCCTCCAAACTGCAACATTCTCATTGCTTAGAGTGCAGGCACTGTATTTTCCACCTCTAGAACTAAAGTCCAGCTAACTGGTTTCTTTGCATTCCTTCATAAGTGTTACCTTGCTCACACTTCAACAGCACATATGAAAACCACTTTCCTTCACTCACTCCTGTCTAACATGCTCACACAAACCTGTTCAATATCCAGGCCCCTAGTACTCTTTTGACTACCGCCCACAGGATGGGTATGGGGTGCATAATAAAGATATTAAACTAAAGTGTGTGTGTGTGTGTGTGGTGTGTGTGACTCAACAATCAATATTTGCACCAATAACTCACTACAGTTGTGACCGGGTGTGGAAGTGTGAATTGCTCATTACTTTATAATTTGTTCATGATTGTAGCCATGTATAAACGTAAGTAACCATTCTACAGAATTCATTACCTTTGTAACTTGTGAGCTCATTACCTTTGTACCTAGTTCAGCTATCAAAACTTTGGGGGCCCAGTCTCTGGACCCATTACGTACCTCTGTAATCTGTAAATACCTTTGTAACTTGTCATGATTGTGACCAGACTTACCTGGAGTTCATTACCTTTGTAAATTGTGAGTTCATTACCTTTGTAAATTGTGAGTTCATTACCTTTGTAAATTGTGAGTTCATTACCTTTGTAAATTGTGAGTTCATTACCTCTGTAACTTGCTCAGCTATCAAAACTTTGGAGTCCAGTCCCTGGACCAATTATGTACCTCTGTAATCTTTTGACTACCGCCCACAGGATGGGTATGGGGTGCATAATAAACATATTAAACTAACTAGTACTCAAAATCTTAAAAAAAAAGGATTGGGGGGGAAGCAAGGAAACAATTTAGTTTTTATGTTGACAATTTAAAAAATGATTTTAATTTTTAAATGAAATTAATTTTACTTACAGAACAAATTAGTAATGAGGAAAAATTGACAAAGTCCAACAAGTCTCTCACTGGTCCAGGAAAATCAGTCACTGGTAAAATCTCCACACTTGAATTGCCAAATAATTTTGACCAGAATCGAAGCAGGATTAAACTAAGCAAATCCCAATCGGAAGTTAGGTATTTATTTAAAGCAGCAAGGCTGGAGCCTAGGAAGAATAATGGTGTTAAGGTAAGGCCTGTTTTCTATTTTGGATTAAGAGGCACAGCATTTTTGAAATCACAGCATTTCTTGCAAGTGCCTGATTTATGGGTTTCTCTCACTATTTATTATTAAAAAATGTACCATTTACACCCCATTTATTTTGTAATTGCCACTCTGGCATTACTTGACATTTACATAAGAAATATGTTAGTGTGTCACAGTTTAATGGACATTGCCAACACAGGCATCATGGGGCACCATTGACAACTATGAGAGTATCAGTGCTTGCTAGGCTGTGTTTACAGGGTCATGCTCCAGCTCTGAGTCAACTTTCTTTGCCAAAATCTGAAGAGTGGCTATACCCATAGGTCCATTATTATGTCCCTAGGGCCATTGTTTGGTTGAGTTGTTATGCTCATAGATCCAGTGTTGGGTTGTATTAACCCCAACACCAAACAATAACTCTATCTTGTCAGAATTATTTTCTTAAATTTGTTTAATTATTTTCCAGTTTTAATTTACCTTAATTATTAAAGTACAGTGGTACCTCGACTTTTGAACAGCTCCCAACTTGAACAGTTATGTAAGTGTATTTTTGTAAGTGCTTTTGTAAGTGTATTTTTGGGGGTCTGAAACAGACTAATCTAATTTACATTACATGTATTCCTTATGGGAACAAATTCGTTCGGTATAGGGACTCGAACAGTCTTCTGGAACGAATTAAGTTCGTAACTCGAGGTAACACTGTATCTTCATGTTGCATGCAACATGAAAATATTGTCATGCAAGTAAATAAGAAGTAATTTCCTCATTTTTTTTTAATACATCACCTTTTTCCCACCAAGGTAGGGTCACTGTCATTCAGATATGACAGTTTAGATGTCACTCCAAACAGCCAATATCACAAACCCCTCTTTTAACCCGTTAACGGTCCAAACGTATATATACGTTTTTACCGCTAGTGCCCCAAACGTATATATACGTTTTATTTTTCCTGCCTTCAAATTTGGCACAATTGGCCTGAGATGCCTTGTCAGCATAGAATGGGCCCTGACACTCAGTGTGTGCGGTATTAAAAAAATCTGGGACCACTTAGTACCGTGTGGGAGCACCAGTTCAAATGAGCACCAGCTAGAGCAAACAGCACAGCAAACACCTGGGATTCACTGATGTCATGTAGTATTAACACTCCCATTTTAAGAGGAAAGTGATTTTGACCCTGAGTTTAGTGGCTTTGAGGTGGATGTGGCCACAAGTGGTCGAGGAAATATAAAAAAAACCTCGATAACCCATGTGCAATATTTGTGCAACACCCTTTCAGAATGTCTTATAACCTATGCCCTAAGTCAAGAGAAACAATTCTGGCAGGCTGGCTGGTTGGCAGGCTGGCTGGCTGGCTGCCTGGCTGGATGACTGACTGACTGATTGGCTGGCTAGCTGGCTGGCTAGCTTGGCTGGCCAGCTGCATGTGGCCCAGCAGTGTGGCTGGCCACTGCTGGTGGCCTGGCTCTATCTCTGTTGTCTTTCTGTATCATGTCTATCTTTTACCTGTCCTCTATCTCTGTCTGTATGTCTTTGTCTATCTTTGTCTCTATCTGTCTGTCTCTGTCTATCCCTGTCTATCTCTGTCTATCTGTCTCTGTCTATCTCTTTCTATCTGTCTGTCTATCTCTGTCTCACAGGTACACATAAATACCATATACATAGTGTAAATTACCTAGGATAACCCAAAAAATCCAGACAAAGTGCTATACTCTGCTTGAAGATGTGAGTAAAGGTGATGACGCATTCTTGTGGCTCTCTCTGAGACAGAGAGCTAGATGGATAGGCAGATAGACAAGGAGCTTGACAGACAGACAAATAGACAGACATGTTTGTGTACCAGCGAAAACAAAGGAGGGCAATGCTCATCAAACATCACCTCTAATCTTTTCTTATCCGCTGCACCCTCCCCAACTCGGGTATGCTCATCAAACGTGAGCTCTTATCAAATCAGATCAAATCAAAATTTATTCTCTATAAGGATTACAATGTGGGGTTTACAGATTTTGGTTATTGTGTGGTTTACATGTAGTAAAATACTAATTACAGAGGAAGCCACTAGAACCCCTAGCATGCTAGTCATTTCGGTCAGCAAATTTAGATTAATTCTTAACTCCTAATTGTAAACAAATTCTGGAGTAATTGACTATAAATCTAAGTGACGAAATACTAAGTGAGAAATACTAGTTTTTTGTGAGTTTAAGCAATGGAAATGCTTTTTGTTTGCCACAATACAATATTGCTTATACTGGAGTATCACAGGCAAACTTATGACTATTAGGAATCTTATTTTTAAGATTGGATACGTATTCTGTGCTTATAGTCAAATGGGTAGTGAGTGAGTGTAAGTGTGGTGGACGCGACCAGTGTGGTTGATGTAGTATAGTTGATGGGGTGTATCAAGGAGATAAGATGTTTTCCTAATAGTAAAGTTTGAAGGTGAAATGTGTCGCAGTTCTAGAGGTCTTTTCAGGTAGGGTGTTTCCAGATTAGGGTCCTTTGACATACATTGGTCAAAGGCCCTTGTGTATGCCTGTGGGTCCTGATCACAACTATCAAGAAAGCAATTTAGGTCATAGTCAATATTGGAATTTAAGTCCTGTATGTGTAGATAGCACAGTAGTTAAGTTGGTGGTGTTCTGAACAGGGAGTATAGTTTTAGATCTATGAAAGAAAACATATGAAGATCAACGATGAAAATATCATTACTCATATATGGTAGAACACGAGGAAATTAAAACTATCATCAGAGTAAAAAAAAACAAATTCTGGCCACAAAATAAGAGCGAAACACCAACGTCAAAGCCGGGAGTGATAATTTCGGAGGATCTCACCTTCAGGAACCATAACATGTAAATCAATCGCATCTGCTTAAAAATGACAGGATGGATAATGGAGAAGCCTTCAAAACTAGGGAGGCCAAGCCCATGATGAACACTCTTCAGGTCACTTGTTCTATCTAGGCTGGAATATTGCTGCCACTAACAGCACCTTTCAAGGCAGATGAAATTGCTGATCCTAGAAAATGAACAGAGAACCTCACGGCACGCATATCGGAGTAAAAACACCTCAATAACTGGGAGCGCTTGAGGTTCCTGAACCTGTATTCCCTGGAACGCAGGCGGGAGAGATACAATATTATATACAGCCTGTGAAAATCCTAGAGGGCTAGGACCGAACTTGCAACACAAAAATCACTCACTACGAAAGCAAAAGACTGGCAGAACAATTGCAACATCCCCCCAATGAAAAGCAGGGTGTCACTCACGTTAAGAGACCATACAATAAGTGGTCAGGGGCCTGAAACTGTTCAACTAGCCTCCCAGCACAATACATAAGGGGATTACCAACAGACCCCTGGCAGTCTAGCAAGCTGGCACTGGACAAGCCCTAAATTCGGTTCCTGACCAGCCGCTGTGGCTCGTAACGTTGGTTTGCGTGCAGACCAGCAGGCACAGCCTGGTTGATCAGGGTCTGATCCACACAGTAGGCCTTTCACAGACCGGGCCCTCGGGGGCGTTGACCCCCGGAACTCTCTCCAGTGTAAACTCCATGGGGGGGGGATGCCGAGATGGGGGTTTAGTGATTATTCCTATGGGTCGTGCTGTTGCTTTTTGTTGAGGTATTATTGGCATTAGGTGTATTGCTGTGCAGTTGATCCCCAAGCCACAAATAGCAATAGTGAGGTATGGATAAATGAGTGAATGGGTAAATAGTGTGAGAAGGGCATTTTTGCGGCATGTAGTATTGTATCTTGGGGAGGAACCCAACTGTTGTGGATACGTTTTTAGAGCTGTGTTGATATGGGTGCTGAAATTCAGGTTGTTGTCGAGTATTAGCCTAGGAATTGTGCCCTCATTATGTCTGGCAATTTAGAGTGCTGTCGATCTTAAAGTTAATTTGCGCAGCACCTACTCTGCTACTACCAAACATAATCTAGTAGTTTTGTCAGAGGTTCAGTGTAAGTTTATTGGCTGTCATCCAGTTGATATTTTGAACACCCTCATTACAATGGTGTTGAGGGTGGCAAGATTAGGGTGAGAGATGACATAATCTGTCGTCAGCAAAGAGAATGGGTTTTTCAGGTGTTGGGATACCCGTTTGGAAGATTTCCATTGATGTAAAGAGAGGAAGAGCAGGGGTCCAAGACACTTCCCTGTGAACTCCAGTATCATTTGGCCGTGTTGAATGATACTGATGCCTTTATGGTGACATACTGATACCTATTAGTAAGGTAGGATTTGAAATAAGCAAGCGCATGTCCTCTTATACCAGTTTAGTATAGTAGTTTTGGGAAGGTACTAGTTTCTAGTGACTTATTAAAAAAAATGTAATAGCAGCGAAAGGACATAGGGCCCGCTCGCTTGTACATAATGTGGAACATTGAGACAGGTTCCCTGAAGTTTATCTCATCATGCCACTGTCATAAGTGGACTTGTGTTTTTCATGCTTCAAGGCAACTTATTATTATTTTTATTACTACTACTACTAACTATTACACTACAACTACTACTACTACTACTACAACTAACTACTACATCTACTTCTACTTCTACTTCTACTTTTCTTCTCTTTTCTTCTACTTCTACTTCTACATCTACTTCTTTTCTTCTTCTAACTCTACTTTCTACTTCTTCTTCTTCTTCTTTCTTCTTCTGCTTCTTCTTCTTCTTCTTCTTTCTTTCTTTCATCTTTTCTCTTCTTCTTCTTCTTCTTCTTCTTCTTCTCCCCTCCTCCTCCTCCTCCTTCTCCTCCTTCTTCCTCCTCCATTCTCCTCCTCCTTCTCCTCCTCCTTCTCCTCCTCCTTCTCCTCCATCCTTCCCTCCTCCTTCTCCTCCTCCTTCTCCTCCTTCCCTCCTCCATCTCTCCTCCTCCTCTCCTCCTCCTTCTCACTCCTCCTTCTCCTCCTCCATCCCTCCTCCGTCTCCTCCTCCTTCCTCTCCTCCATCTCCTCCTCCTTCTCCTCCTCCTTCCTCCTCCTTCTCCTCTGCCTCCTCCTCCTCCTCCTCCTCCTCCTCCTCCACCTCCTCGCTCCTTCCTCCGCCTTCCTCCTCCCTCCTCCTGCCTTCCGTCCTCCCTCCTCCTCCTTCCTCCTCCCTCCTG